ACGTAGGCAAATTAGCCGAACCACGTAAATCTGCGTGTTATTTTTTGGTTTGCAGTTTTTCGATCAAGTTTTTTTCACTTTATTGTCGTTGTTTTTTTTCAAAACAATATTCTTCTCTGGCTTTGTCAGATCGCACTTCAACTGTAAGTGGTCGAACTAAGCTGTGAACTCCTCCACTGAAAAGTCTCTCTGTTGTAGATTGTGTAGTTTCAAAAATATATCTTAGCAGTAATGAGGGGAAGATATTTCTTCTGCATAATTTCTATCATCTTCTCCCACCTGGTAATGTTTTTGTTGTCTTTTCGCCTCATCTGTCACTGTACGTTCTCCCACCATAAGGAGACACTTTTCTTAATTTGATAACAACTAATTCAACTCGCCTCTCTTCGAACACCTCTTTGGATTCAAAGATTCGTTCAACTGCTTGTAGTCATTCGATAATTTCATTTGGATCCATGTTCCCCTCAAACTCAGGTAAATCTACTTTGATCCCGTAGTCTTGGTGTCCTCCAAATGACATCTCTTCTCGGAAAGTTTCCTTGTGGGAGGGGCGCAGGTATCCCTCTTTAGGCCTCTTCTGATATTGGATTTTGAAACGTCGTGGTCTATCTTCTTCATCACTGAAATTATCCCTGTGGAAGGGATTCAAATCTTCTTCTTTCTTTCCTCTTCAACTCCCCATGTCTCAATCAAACGTAACGTCTTCCTGTGTCATCTTTTTGTTCTCAGTTGAAGGTGACGGAGTTCTCGTTGTATCTCTTCTTGGGTAGGCTCGAGCGTATTTTTCCTTCGCAGCATGTTTGACGGTTTGGGATATGTGGAAGAAAATAAAGAAGAGAAAAATAAACTAAAGAAAGAAAAGGAAAAAAAAAATTGGTGTGGTTGATTGGGTAGGGGCGGATGATAGAAACTCTAAGAAGGGATTAGGGTTGGGCTAGCTCTGATATCAAATGATTCCGGAGTTAACCCAAACCACAACGGAAGCATATATTATTTCTTAATTTCAAACATATTACAAACATGATACGGGAAAGCATGAAATATACAATAAACAAACAACAACATGAACAATAAAAGACGTTAGTGGGGGACAATGATGACGTAGGCTACTAGACGACAGTTGATGGCTGAGAAAAAAGGGTTGCGGGGCTGTAGGGAGATGGTAGAAGGGTGGGCAGCTCCTAGAACAACAAGGCACCTTGGGACGACAATCAAAATAGCAGCCAGTTGTTGTTTGAGGGCTGCTAGACAACAGGAAAACAACAAAACGAAGGCGAGTGAGGATAAGACAATGAGGGCGACTGAGACAACAGGAAAACAACAAAACGAAAGCGTTGCTTGTTGTGGCAGCGAAGGTGGACTAAGACATTCAGGGCAGCGAAGGCGAGTGAGGATAAGACAATGAGGGCGACTGGAACTACAAAAATCATTGGATTGTTGGTTTTCTAGGCGTGGTAGCAAGAGTGGCTATGGTAACGGCGTCAAACCGCAACTAGAGAGGTTCAGGAACATCGTTGGAGACTGGATTGGCAGCTGCAATAAAGGCCAGAGAGTTAGGGCTGTTGTGGAGGAAGTAGGACAGCAGCCGAGAGAATAGACTGTGAGATAAATATCTAAGAGGGGTTGAGCTGCAGCCGTAGCACCAACCGGACCCATGGAGACAATCACCGTCTCGGGCAAGTATAGCCGAAGCACTACTTTGACGTCGAATGCAGCTGTCAAGTTGGAAAATAATCGGACAAAACTCAATTCAGATTTTAAAAAAATAGCCCATAACTCAAAGCACGACCTCTCATCTTTATAAAGAGACATAAACTATCTTATGAAACATTTAAAATAAGGGATAATCAAATTTCAGATTTGAGGAAAGGATTTAAATTAGGAAGAAGAATAAAAATCAGATTTGAGTTTTTAGGAAATGTTTTAAATTAGGAAAGAGAATAAAAATCAGATTTTTGTTTTAGGAAAAGTTTTAAATTAGGAAGGAGAATAAAATCATATTTCAGTTTTAACAAATGTTTTAAATTAGAAAAGACCTAGGAAGGAAAGAAAAAGGAAAGGTGGGAAAAGAAAGGAGGTGACGGCCCAAGCCCGACGTCAATAGAAACGGAGAAGTTTTCTATCTTGCCCCACCCAGAACTTTCACAAATAATTGTGAAATGTTGAGTGTTGGATTTCTCGACCACAACAACAACAACAACAAAGCCTTAATTCCACCACGTGGGGTCGGCTACATGAATCTTTTTTTCTCCATTGCGTCCTATTTAATGTCATATTTTCATTTATTTGTAATAAATTAAGATCATTTTTTACACAATATACTCAAATCTTCCTAGGTCTAGCTCTACTTTTCTTAACATAAGTCGAATCTAAATCATCTACTCTCCTAATCGGATCATTAGTTGGTCGACCATCTAATTTTGTCCATCACAGGAGCTACACCAACCCTATCACGGATATAATCATTTCGCATTTTGACTCTAAATGTAAAGCCACTTATCCACCTAATCATTCTCATCTCGGTAACACTTAACTTAGTATTATTCTTGACCACATTATAACAAATTCCTTGCCTTGACGACTGATCTATCAACTTCAAGGAGGTGTGTGGGCAACTTGTGCGAGGAGCAGCTGGGAGGAAAGAAAGAGTAGAGGGGCTCCCATGCGGTCCAAGAGAAGGAGGGGGAGTGTGGAGTGCCGCTCAGTCTCGACAAAAGGCAAGGAGTAGTTGTGCTTTCAGTTAGGGTGCCGGTGTGAGGGAAAGATGGAGGTTGGTCGTTAGCCGCTGGTAGGGGGTGAGGCTACTCGGCAGCTTCGTTCTGGTGGAAGTGCATGGAGACGAAGCTGTGCCATTTGTTGCTAGAGCAATTAGCGGCAGCTGGATTGCTGCCTATGAGGAAGAATGGGAGAAGCTCAGGCTTTTGTGAGAACCTGGGAGCGAAGAGCTTCAAATGGCGAGAGAGGGGGCGGCATTGGGTTGCCAGCAGCAAGGTAGAGTATGGTAGAGCTGTGGCCTGGAGCGGGAGAGGGCGATGACGGGATGCTGCTTGGGTTGTGGCGGAGAAGAGGTCTCCTGTGGGATCTCGCCGGTGGAAGTTTAGGGGGTAGGGGAGATGGAGTTGCTTGTTGGTTGGAGAGCTGGTCAGCGGCTGTGGGAGGTTAAAGCTTGGAGAGCTTGCGGGTAGAGCTGGCCAAGGAGAATGGCTGGGATTGTGGTGTAGATTCAGTGAGGCGAGACAGAGGAGATGAGGCAAGGTCGTGGGACGGAGGAGAGGAAGAAAGGGGAGAGCATTTTCGCGTGAAGCAGAAGGGAGGTGGAGTTTTGTGGCGTGGGTAGTTCACTTTGGGTTTTGCGTGAACGAAATCAAGAGGCTAGGGCAGGAGTGATTATTAGGTCAGAAATATTTTTGTTATTTTATCATTTTATTATTTTTAGAGGTGGAAAGCTATTGTTGGACAGGATAGAGGTGGAGGTATGGGTAAATGCGGGATTGGGCGTAGGGGTGTAAACGAGCCGAGCACGAGCGAGCCATGCTCAGCTCGTGTTCGGCTCGATTATATTTGGAGCTCAAAAAGTGTGTTCGTGTTCGGCTCGTTTGCTTAACGAGCTGAACACGAGCTGTTCACGAACAAAGAGTTTTTTTAACAACCCTAATCATGTAGTCATAAGACAAAAATGATTTGAGCAAGATTTAAAAATTATTACTTATATTGAAGCATCATTTGAATCTAATTTAATCATTTTTATTCTATTTTCTTAATCCATATTTTAATTGATTATAAATCTTTGAAACCTTGCAGTCAATTAGATTTTTTAAAAATACTACTTAATATATATATATATATATATATATATATAACACGAACGAACACATCTTAGTTCGTGTTCGGCTCGTTAACTTATCGAAAGAAATTAACGAGCCGAACACGAGTTTCTTAACGAGCCGAACATGAGCTGTTCGCGAACAACGAGCCGTTTTGACAACCCTAATTGGGCGATGGCTTTCTGTGCAAGAAAAGAAAGATTTATTTAAGTTTTTTTTAATGTTTAGCATTTAAAATATATTTTAGTGTCTCCAATTTTCTGTCGTTAAATTGTGCACCAAAGTCTAGCAATATGGGTGTCTCTTTTTGGGTAAATTGCGTTCCGGTCATGCTCACTTAGTTCGCTTTATGATCGGAGGTCACTTGAGCAACTTCGTTAATGATTGAGATGATTTGAACCAGAATTAAGAACATCACGCCGTTAATCCGATGTTTTGAATGCAACTGCAGAGTGTTTTTTAAACGGTCATTGTTCGAGGAGAATTCAAGCATGCTCAAGGTATTTCAAATTTGCTTGCACGCATTCTTCATCTGTAACTCTCATCATGTTTGATCGACTCGTCTAGTAGATTATATGTGAGGGTCAACAGACATTTAACTTTATTTAATGTTTTGTGCTCATTTCCTATCCTTCAACAGACATATTTCAGATCAACTAAATTTTATTCTCTACATTATTTTCAATCAATGTTATTCAGGCAATTGCCTCGTATTTATCTCGGCATCCATGTTTCTGTTAAACTCAACTTACCTGTCAGTGCTCTTTTTTAGTACTCAGATCCTACAATATAGCTGACCTAAATTCAGGTTATTGAATTTATTTTTAAGTATCGATGGTATTCTTTTAGGCACTAATCCATTTAAATGACCCAGCCTTAAATGTAGAGGTTTCATCCTAACAATAGTCTCAAGTACTTCCAAGTCCATTCTGCATTGTTATTTAGAATGATATGCTTGTTTAATAGAAGAAATGAGAGAAACATCTTTGGAATACATTACTGTTAATTCTTTTTTATTGTTTTTCCTATTTTAGGATTCATGTAAGGGTTATTTATAATCCCATGGAATATCACTAACATAATTCTGCTTATTTCAACATTAATCTGAATTGCAACAATACAAAACCAGCTTCTTAGTTTCTTCATTTTTTTTTTTTTTTTTTCCCTAAATTTCAGGCATGTGGTGGACTCTTCTTGTGGAACTCGTTGCTGCTTTGTTCATTGCTGAGGCCAGCATCAAAAGGCAATGGCTTCTTGATGCCTTGGATGTGAGCTGCGTTACTGCAAATCCTTTAACTGTAAGTTTTTCTTGTATATTAAGTACATAGTGCATGGGCTATTTCGATCATCAATTCCTTGAAGGATGTTCCTAAAATATTTTTTTCTTTCAAAAATTTTTTAGTTATCTTAATTTGATCTGTAGTAACAGGAAAATGGGATCTCAATCCCTGTTAAACAATTTATCACAACTACCTTCTTTACTATAAGACAGCAATATTCTTTTCCATGCTAGTGTCAGTAAAAAATATAAATAAGAAATTGGCTTACAAACCTGAAGCAGCCGTAGATGATAACAGAATTCTCTGCACTCTATCTGCTTCTCTCTACAGGCTATAAGCTTCATAGGGCTGCTTTCAGGAAGCTGCTGCAAATACATGCCACTATTGATCGTCGAACCAGAGATCGTCTTAAACGACTTGCCAATGACTCTCCCATCTCTTTTATCGAGTAGCGGCTGGAGTGTCATTGCAGAATCTAGCGTTCATAAACTATGGTTATCGACTGAACGTATCTGTACTTGGGCGGCTGCGACGCTGTCTCGTGGTGCCATTGATAACTTCCCTGACTCAAACTACATAGATGTAAGCGATGTTGATACGTTTGTCTCTCTAGCTCGATTGATGCACCGGACTTGTCTCTCTTTGAAAGACTACTTGCCACTTGACCAGCAATTGAGGTTGGCTAATATTGAGGTCCCATGATCCTTGTTAGCTGAGTTGTCTGAGTTAGTACTTTTTGATCTTTTTATTGTAATCTCCTTTGTTCTAATGTTTGCTTGTATGACAGAGATTTAAAGGCATGCACCCAATTTGTGATCATTCTGTAAATGTTTTCATAAAGTTCTATTACATTGTCCTCTGAGGTTTCTCAATCTATATCTGCTCTTTATGACTGCTGTCATTTTATTAGGAGTACCTAGGGCTGTCAAAACGGCTCATTGTTCTCGAACGGCTCTTGTTCGGATCGTTAAGAAGCTTATGTTAGACTCGTTTGTTTAGTTAACAAGTCGAACACGAATAAAGATTTGTTCGTTCTTATTCGGCTCGTTTAAGCTCGAAATAATACTCATCATCAATTTTGATTAAATGGGCACCACCCCCTCATGGTTGGTTTAAAATTAATGTCGATGGGAGCTTTTCTAATGCCTATACGGGTATGGGTGGAATTATAAGAGATGTGCATGGAAGATGTATAGCTTATTTTACCTCCCCTTGTATTGCTACCTCCTCTCTTGAGGCTGAGACTTATGATGTGCTTGTTGCGCTTCATGTGGTTATTGTTTTACAATTAAATGACATTGTGTTGGAAACCGTCTCCAAAACCCTGCTTAATATACTTTTGGCAAAAGTTAAACCTCCTTGGTATATCAATGTCTTGCTGAAAAGAATAAGGATCATAATTGATAGCCATCATTTAAATATTTCTTTTTCTTTCATTTATAGAGAACCAATCTGCTGATTTGTTGGCCAAATGGAGGGTGAAAAATGCTACTGTTGGAAACACCGCTCTCTCTTTTTTGCATAAATTTATTAAAAATGATATGGAGGCCCCATATGTTTGCTATTGAGATGCTGCCCCCCTATCTTGGTTTTTTGGTTGAATGTCTTTTGATTTTCACATGGTTGTTGGACTAGGGTGCCTTGGATGCTGGTTACACATAATCGGTGGAGTCAACTGGAAATTAGCTTTCTACATTTTAAATTTGCTCAATTCCTTTTTAGTTTTGGGGTTTGTTATACATGTACGTTTTGGATATACATTTTGGGTTATCACATGTACCTTTTGTTTTATTTTGCATGGTGTTGTAATGCGGATAGTGGAACCCCTAGGTCTTCATGTTTGTTTTGTTTCTAGATGGGGATCCACTATCCCACCCTAAATATTGTAACTTTTTTATGATTAACGCGTAAGAAGCCACGAGATGCCCTTTTAATCAATATATATATATATATATATCTATATATATATATATACAAAGAACTATAATCAATTAAAATAATTAATTAAAAATTAAAATTAAAATTATTAGATTAGATTTAAATGATGTTTAATATAAACAATAATTTTTAAATTTTTTTCCAATATTTTATGGCTGTGTGATTATGATTGTGAAAACGACTCTTTGTTCGTGAATAGGACACGAGCTGAGTCTGGGCTCGCTCGTGTTCGGGTCATTTACACGCTAGGAGTGCCCTAACTTGATTTTTTTTTCTGATGGATCTCTATGTTATTGCATTATTTTGAGTGCAGTATAAGCTTGATTTAGTAGTCATATTAACTGCTATTTATATTTTGTATCTATATCTATTGCTTCAGACATGAATAGCTAAATTTATAATATATATATATATATATATATATATATATATATATATCATATGATGTTGGATGGCCTACCTATTTATCCAACGGTCCAATCAACAGTCCACGTTATGGTGGTAAATAATAAAGGAACATTCACTGTGGTGCCGCATTCAAATCTTACTAAATGTATAATAAATTTTTCTTAAATTCATCTTTACCATATGGGACAAAGTTACTCAATTATCTAAATTACGAAAGTGATGTCAGTCGTGACCGGTTGGTAGCTAAATATACAAAAAATGACACCAAATCTAGGTTGATGTGAAGGAATATGAGGTACACTAGTCGTGGGATTGAAATAAATTTTGTTCTAAATGTATAATAATTTTTTCTTATATTCATCTTTACCATATGGGACAAAGTTACTCAATTATCTAAATTACGAAAGTGATGTCAGTCGTGACCGGTTGGTAGAACAATCTCTTTGAAGATCGTAAGTTTCCTCAGGTCACGGGGTGACCTTTAAATAGTTAGGCATATGAGGGTGGCTGCGGGTTTGTATGATAGCCTCAGGTCATTCTTATTAAAAAAATATATCTAAATTACGAAAGAAAAAAATTAAAATTTATTATTTATATAGAGTAATTTCAAATTTCAAGTGGAGTTCAGTGGAGTTTGTATCTCTACAATATAATATATTGATGATAATATTGTTCACTTGGGTAATAGTTAGTTACATGAATTTAATGCCATTAAACTATTTTGGCATAAGGCAATTAGCTTCACTTGTTTTGCGCCATAAAAAATCAATATGATTAAGCTATTGAATGTTTATTGGATGGTAAGTATCTATAAATGTTTCATATTTTAGGTTGTCATGATGAATAAATAATACATTGGATTAAAACTCTTTAAATGCGGTGGTGGGCATACATATTCTAATTGATAACTATAATTTAATTTCAATTTTTGTGACAATATAAACTAGTTTAAGTTTGTATATAAATATATAATAAAGTAAAACATTATTTTGCTCAATTCCTTAAACATGTCTATGAAATTCGTAAAATTATTGTGTCGCCCACCACACGCAGAAATGTGTGCGGTGGGCCAATAAAAACTCCTCCTTTACCAAAAAGTTTATGTCAGTTGGCCCACTTAATTTTTTTTTTTTTAAAAAAATTTCATTGGACGGCGCACGCAATAAGAGCTCATGAAATTCATTGTCAAGTTTATCTCTTGTGGTTTTCCTTCGTACAAACATTGATATATAAGACTGAAACCTAACTAGAGGTAACTCTTTTGTGTAACATTATCTAATAATCAAAACTTCATTTCTTATGATACATGATTGGATTGTGAGCACAACGATGGCTTGAGTATGATATGCTTACATAAAAAAATATGGGGATTTGTGTTTTAGGAAGGCGTGGAAGATGAAATAGGAGAGATTGGGGAATCATTTGTGAAAACAAACATGTGAATTATTATAAAAAAAATGATGAGAAGCGTAGCATAGAGAAAAAAAAATTGATGTTGTCTTAAACATTATCTCTTTTGTCTATGCTTATGTCATCCAATTGATAGAATATGTACTGAGTGGTCATCCTTCATATAAGACAATTTTTTTGGTGGCCGATATAAAAACCCATATATATAAATATATATATATATATAACCCTTAAAGTAGAGTTGGCACTTCCATTTGCTTATAGAGCAAAAAAATAGTTTTATTATACATATACATCATATAATTTAAATATGTAAGATTATTATACTAGAATATGTAAATTTATATGGATTTAATCATCACATTCAATCATTCAATGTATATATTGGCATCTCATTATCATGAACAACTTATATATAGAACTTTTCTTGTGCTAACTCCTCCTTATAGGTGATAAGAATCTTGTGATTCTTGGATGATTTTAGGGTTTCCTTGAGGGAGTTCTTCTTCCCATTCTCAAGGAAGTTTTCTCTCATTCTTTCATATTCCATTACTTTTATTTTGTTTCTCTTTAGTTTTTTGAGGCTTTGTTCCAATGGATTCTTCCTCTTCCACCTCTACCTCCCCCCCCCCCCCCCCCCCCTTCCTTCTTCCTGGTTCTTCTCCCACTCGATCTTTTCTTGGATATGAATTGTCTTTAATCTAGAAAGGTCTAATATCTTCTAATCTTCCAATACTTATGGGTTTTAACCTACCTTATGTCTCATGTGTATATAAGAAAATCTTTTTCTCTGAATTTGAGGCTGTTGAAGGTTCAAAACAGTGTGACCTTGCTCTGGTTGGCTATGCTTCAGGCAAATGACCTTTCAATGGAAATGGTGTCCATGTTATTTGTAAGATGTGGAGACTCAAGGGCTTAGTTGAGCTTCTCTCTTTATAGAGAGTTTTTAATGTTTAAGCTTAATTGTGTTGAGGATTTTGAGATGGTTCTCACCGGAGGACTTAGGTTTATGGGAGGTAAGCATTTTATTTTTAAATTACAATCTCATGATTTTTTACTAGTGATGGAAAATTTTAAAGAAGCCCATTTTTGGCTTAAATTTCTAATCTTCCCCTATTTTTTTTGGTCAGGAAGTTCTATTTTGAAAAAGAAAGTAATATTGGTATCCCATTAGCAGTGGACTTTTTGACAGGAAAAGTTTTTCATATGATCTTTGCTAGTGTAAGCATGCAGGTTAATGTAGGTTCAACTTTACCTGATTACGTAACTCTTGTTGCTAAGGATAAAGATATAGTTATTCATGTTATTTATGAATGGAAACCTATTTCTAGCCAGATGTGCTCTACATTGACCATAATCCCTCAAACTATCCTAAATCTTCTTCTTATATTGAAAATTTTGTTATTCCTTTAAATAGGGGAAGAAATTATAACATAAATACTAATGCCTTTGGAAATCAAAGAATCATAATAAATTTGAGAATACTTTTAGAACTGTTCAAGTTAGCATTACCAATGTTAATTTTATTGCTCCAAATCTTAATTTCTTTGTTAATGTCATTACTAGAAATAATGAATCTTTAGGTAACAATACTTATGCTTTACATTTTGTCACTTTTACTAAAGCTATTTTTGAAGTTAATGGTAATTCTACTATTATTTTGGATAATAGTGTTGCTAATGATACATGTATACAATCGGATGATGTACATAATGCCTTTATTTTGGATATTAATATTGTTGTAGTTACTTTAATTTCTAATATTGAAAATTTGCTAGTAATGTGTGTTCTATGGTGAATGTTCCAAATGCCAATAATATTTTGTTGGCAATAAATATGACTCATTCTGGAAGTATACCATCTTATTCTAAGCTTGTTTCTTCAAGAGCAAGAAAATTTAGATCTCAATGATCTATCCTTTTGTTTTTTTTTAGATCATCTATTTTGTTTTTTATGTTTTATACAAAATTAGATGATTCTATGTCAACTTCAAGTAGCTTTTAAATTTTTTTCCCCTTGGTTATTTTCTTAATAGA